CTCGCTCTGCATTGACCAAATATGTCACCAGAACGCATCCTTCCACCTGGCTTTAACCCTTCCCCTCCTGCACAGACCACAAGGACCAAAGGTGTATCATGCACACTTACACTGGGATACGTTTCATGTTCACCTGGAACTCCGGGAGCAACTTGCTTTTCTGCATGTCATCCTTCCCTCGGTATTCACGGAGCATGTAATTCAGATATTCCTCCTGCAAACAGAGTGGAGCGGAAGGAAGGAAGGAAGGAAGGAAGGCTCTTGTCACCCATCACAGTTCCTGGCGATTTTCTGCTTATGAGAGAACAGGTCACTGCTCTCAACTCTAATCATAATGATAATTATTATTGATTATTATTGCTCCTGGGAAGGCTCAGCAACAGTCACTGTCTTATAAGCTCAGGCAGCAAAGCAGGCAATTTTTAACAACTGGAAGGATAACCTTTTAATATGTTGACAAACCACCTCTTTATCCTGGCCAGGAGCACCTCCCAGGCAATATGCCAAACTCCTAAAGCAGGGGTAGGCAAACTTTTTGATCTGGGGGCCGGGTTGCTGTCCCTCAGACAATTGACGGGCCGAAGCACCAAAAATAAATAAATAAATAAATAAAAATTAAAATTAAAAAAAGAATTTAAAAATTTTTAAAAATGCATGCACACTCTCCCAGCCCCAGAAAAGCCATGGCAAAACCCCTGTGAAGATTTTGCCAAGAAAACTCCAAGAACAAGTAATAACAACAATAATCAATATCATCATGGGGGGGCGGCGGCGGGGGGGGCGGCGGCAGGACCGGTTTGGGGCCAGTCCAAAGGCCTTTCTGGGCCGCATCCGGCCCCCGGGCCTTAGGTTGCCTACCCCTGTCCTAAAGCAAACCTGCAGCTGCGGACCATGCTAAAGCCCAGGGCTAGTTTTAAAAGGAGACCTATAATCATAATCCTATCATTATAGAATTCTATAACTATAATATAATGAGAATGCTGTAATTGTAATTCTATAATTCTACAACTCTATCATTCTATGATCCCAAGTGGCAGGGGTATATAAACTCAAAACGAACACATTACCCAGTCCACGGAGCCGTCACAGTTGATGTCCACCTTCATGAAAATGACATCAATATCTTCGTCAGAAATATCCCCCATGATCTTCTTCATTGCCTTCCGAAACTCTTCGATGTCCAGTCCTGAAAAGCCAGAAGTCACAACGAGTAACAGAAAGGGTCCCTCTGCACCCAGCCAACTCCTGTGACGGGGTCTGAAAGGACGTACCCAGGACTGGGAAAAGGCCCTAATATTTCCAAAGCAACATGGACAGGAGGGCTGACTAACCCAATCAATCCATCAAAGTTTGCAAGCCACGGCTAACAGAAAGAAGAATGGGAAACTGATTCATTTGCCAATCAGTCCAGCAAAGTTTGCAAGCCACAACTAGCAGATAGACGAATGGGACACCAAATCATTGGCTAATCAGTCCATCAAAAGTTACAAGCCACGGCTAGCAGAAAGAAGAATAGGACACTAAATCATTGACAAATCAGTCCATCAAAGTTTGCAAGCTATGGCTAGCAGAAAGAAGAATGGGACACCAAATCATTGGCTAATCAATCCATCAAAAGTTACAAGCCATGGCTAGCAGAAAGAATAGGATACTAAATCGTTGGCAAATCAATCCATCAAAGTTTGCAAACTATGGCTAGCAGAAAGAAAAATGGGATACCAAATCATTGGCCAATCGATTCATCAACGTTTGCACACCAGGGCTAGCAGATAGAAAAGAATGGGACACCAAATCATTGGCCAATCAGTTGGTCAAAGTTTGCAAGCCAAGGCAGGCAGACAGAAGAATGGGATACTGAATCATTGCCAATCAATCCATCAAAGTTTGCAAGCTAAGGCTAGCAGACAGAAGAATGGGACGCCAAATCAGTGGCCAATCAGTCCATCAAAGCTTGCAAGCCATGGCTTGGCCAAACAATCGGTCAAAGTTTGCAAGCCACAGCTACCAGACAGATGAATGGGACACCGAATCATGGCCTCACCTCCTCCGCCATCGATGTCCGCTTCCCGGAACATGCGCTCCAGTTTGCGTAAGTGGTCATAGTTGATCTGATCCTCCAGCTGCTTGGAGCGAGCCTCATCGCACGAGTCTGAGATCTTCATGAGTTGCTTGTGAGAGGAGCACACCAGGCGGCCCGCTTTGCTCAGAAGCCCAGGGAGCTTGGGCTAGGAGGAACATCCCATCAGTCAGGGACATGTCTTCGCAGGGGAGGCATCATACCTGCGGCTATTGCTCTGCGTTCCCTGAACACATAGCATCGCGACACCTGCCCTTTCCACATCATCTGTGCCACAAAGAACTTGAGAAACGTTCCTTATGGGGACTCTATCTTCCAGAATCCCCCAACCAGTGTGGATACTGAGAATTTGGGGAATCTGTGCTAAAAAAAATAATAATTACTTTTCCTTCCAGGCACTGATTTTTACAAAGTTAGCAAACATACTTCCAGACAAGGCTTATTTTTAAAGCTGGGGACTGCATCTGCACTGCAGAAATAATGCAGTTTGACACAGCCTTAATTGCCATGACTCAGTGTTATGGGATTTGTAGTTTTGTGAGATGTTTAGCCTTCTCTGTCAGCGAGGTCTGGTGCCACAATAAACTACAAATCCCAGAATTCCATAGCATTGAGCCACATTGATTCACCATTCAACAATCAATTGAATAAGTTAAGATGGGAGAGCCAGGACAGCATAGTGGTTTGAGCATTAGATTATGACTCTGGAGCCTGGGGTTCAAATCTCTGCAACCCACTGGGTGATCTTGGGCGAATCACACTCTCTCAACCTCAGAGGAAGGCAAAAACGGCAAAGCCCACTCTGAACAAATCTTGCCAGGAAAACAGCGTTTCCACATTCCACTTACATTTACCTATTTTCCTCCAGGCTCAAGCCCAGCAGAACTATTTTTTGCAATAGACAGTTGTAAGATGCAGTGGATCTGTTTTCGAGTCTCCCTTTGCAATTAAGGCAAGGAATGCTCATGTATTCGTATGCAGGTCACTAGCAGTGCATCTACTAACCAGCGCTTCCCAAACTTTGGTCTTTCAGGTGTTTTGGACTTCAGTTCCCAGAAGCCCTAGCCAACTTGGGCAACATTCAGGAATTCTGGGAGCTGAAGTCCAAAACATCTGGAGCACAAAGGTTAGGGAACCATTGCTTTACACTGCAGAAATAATGCAACTTGATACCATTTTTATGGCTATGGCTCCATCCTACAGAATCTTGGGATTTGGAGTTTGGTGAGGCATCAGCACTCTTTAGCAGGCTTTGTAAAAGTACTTTGTAAAAGTAAGTTTTGTAATGTTTAGTGATGTTGTGATGCTGTAATATGTTTTGATGTTTTTTATAAAATAAAGTTAACAAAAAATAAAATAAAATGGTGTCAAATTGCATTATTTCTGGAGTGTAGACACACTCTAGGTTGGAGAACTTGGAAGCTAATTTTTCTTGTTGTTGTGTCCCTTCAAGTTTTTTCCAACTTATGGTGACCCTAACATGGACCTGTCATGGGGTTTTCATGACAAGATTTGTTCAGAGTGTGACTTGCCCAAATTAACCCCATGGGTTTCCATGGGCCAAGCAAGGATTTGAACCCTGGTCTCCAGAGTTGCAATCCAACACTCAGACCATTACACCACATTGGCTTTTAGCTAATCTGCTATGATAGATTGATTCCATTTTAATGCTGACCTTCTGTATGGTTTGACTGTACTGTTTTAATTAGTAAGCCAATTTTCGTGCACCTGCATTGCAGAAATAATCCAGTTTGACACTGCTTTAACCTCCATAGCTCAATGCTATGGAATCCTGTGAGTTGTAGTTTGTTGTGACAGCAGAGCTCTCTGACAGAGAAGGCTAAACATCCCACGAAACTACAGTTCCCAGAATTCCATAGCACTGAGCCATGCACAGTTAAAGCAGTGTCAAACTGGATTATTTCTCCAGTGCAGATGCAGCCTTTGAGTCCCAATTCTTGGGGGAAAGGCAGGATTTGAAAAAAAGGTAATCATCACCACTATCATCTGCTTGAATGATTTTGAGCAGAAATGCTAGTCCTACCTTGCCAGATCTTATCCAGGTTTTCAAATATTTAATTTATTCCTTCCTTTCAGTTCTCAAACTGCAAAAGACCACAGAGGTATTCCAGTTCCCCTCTCTCCGCAAAAAAATTACCATGTTGTAAATGAAAGAGTACATATAGCTCCATGACATTTGATGCAATTTATTTAAGGAACCAAACTCAATAAGTCTTCTATCAAAATAGACTGCAGGAACAACAGATGAAGAAAAGGACTTTGAGGACTGCAAGCAAAAAGAGCCAAGCAGGAAAAGTCATGGTTGTAGGTAGACAATACATTTCTGAAGTAGTTGTGCAGCCCCTTCCATTGATTTAATGTAATGCTTATTTCTTCTCGAGGATAATATTGTCATCATTTTGTTAATTTTCAATGGGCGAGCAAAATGAGAAAACTGACCCTCGAAATGAGAACTCTGCCCCTTTGTGAAAATTTCCCTCTTTCCTCCAAATTTCTAGCATTGCAAAGAGTGAAATGTTGAAAATCAGCCCCATCAGCAAATCAAAGTTATATTGGGCAAGAATACATACTCTTGTCTCAGAAATATCAGACATTCAGTTCCCAGTGGAGCCTGAATTGTACCTTTTGAATATGATTTATATGCTTGACGATATTGTGCAAAGAAAATACTGGAGAGTATTGACGTATATGGTAACCGCAGCAAGGATAGCATAGGCCAAAAACTGGAAAGCCAGTTTTCTATTGAAGAATGGCTATTGAAACTCCGTGATTTTGCTGCTCTAGATAAATTAACAATGCTGTTGAGAAATAAGACATTAGACAGATATAAAGAGGGATGGAAAAAATTAATAATGTTCTGAGGGAAAGATGGGGTTCCTGGCCAACTTTGTGTTTTGATCATTAACCTTGCTCTAGAGCAGGGGTCTCCAAACTACGGCCCACAGGCCAGATCCGGCCCGCAAGGCCTCCTGCCGCTGCCGCTGCCGCTCGCGCACACCACTGAACACCATTTTGTATTCCAAAATGGCATCCGGCGTCGCGCGCGCATGCACACAACTCTGGGTGCCATTTTGTTTGTCAAAATCGTGCCCAAGTTGTGTGCATGAGCGCAATGCCAGGCGCCATTTTGTTTGCCAAAATGGCGCCCGGAGTCATGTGCATGCACGCAGTGTTACGCACGCATACGCACGACTCTGGGTGCCATTTTGGCAAACAAAATGGTGCCTGGCATTGCACGCGCATGCACACGACTCGGGCACCATTTTGTTTGCCAAAATAGCACCCAGAGTCGTGCACATGCACGCGGCATTACGCCCACATGCGCACAGAGGCTGGATGGCCATCTGTTGGGGATGCTTTGATTTGGATTTCCTGCATGGCAGGGGGTTGGACTGGATGGCCCGTGCGGTCTCTTCCAACTCTATGATTCTATGATTCTATGATTCTATGACTCTGGGCGCCATTTTGGCAAACAAAATGGTGCCTGGAATTGCACTCGCATGCACACGACTCGAGCACCATTTTGTTTGCCAAAATGGCACCCGGAGTCGTGTGCATGAGCGTGCGCACATGCACACGCGTCACCGGACCCCAGAAGATCTGAGGGCCAGCAAACTGGCCCCCGGATGAAAAAGTTCAGGGACCCCTCCTCTAGAGAAAGTTAAACAACTTAATATCTCCCTTTGAGATATAACAATATATTACAGCTTAATATCATGGTATATTACATTATAATTTTACTTATTGATATGTTTTGCCCTCTCTCATAAATATTTTAGGATGCTATCCAATTATAAAAAATCAAGATAGAGGGGGAAAAGGAAAAATTAAATGGACATGTATAAGCAAAGTGATAGGTAGGCTGTTTATTGAAATCTATTACTCAAGTATATACAGATATATTGATATATTCAGTGGATACATCTTTGCTAAATTCAATTACCAGGTGTAACAATCATAAGAAAAAATTAAATGAGAAATATGCTGGTTGCAATATAGAAAACTGATAAAGGGGAAGGAGAAATAAAGGTTCATAAATAACTGACACTGCGATGGAAGGAAGCCAACCAAGATGTACTATAATAGGGAACACAGTTCAGAATTAAACCAACAGACATATATTGCAAATATATTGTATTTATTAGTAGTATCACTATCTCTACTGTTGTATTTCATATTCAGAAATGGGTTGTCAATTGTGCTGATGTTATCTGATACTATTTTCTTGCTATTTTGTTATTAGACTTTTTTAAAATTATTAATATAAATAATGTTTTAATAAAATCATCCCCATCCAAACTCTTACCAACTTACTGTGTTCACATTCCCTTGGCAGCACTTTGCCTGACCCTTTCCTTTGGATGCTTAAACTGTATTTTGAAATATTCAGCTGAGGCTTACGTGGGTGCAATGCTAGAAATGTGGGGACTGGAGGGAAATATCATGGGGAGGGGTTCATAATTTTATTTCGGAGGAGTAAGGCCCTCATTTTGCCCAGCTGGCATGACTCAAAGTCTGTCGCAAATGTACTTACTGGGGGTTGTGTCGCTGGGGGTTGCTGATCCTCAAGCTCTCCTTCAGAGTCTGTGCCTCCCCTAAAGAAGATGGAGAAGAAATCAAAGCCAACAGCAGCTTTAAGTAGTTCAATAATAGCCTTTTGGTCCTTTGATTCAAGGCTCAGAAGAGAAATGACAAGCCTCCGAGGGTTTATTTCCTTTGTAAAATGGAAATGACCATAAACAAGCTCAAACTATTATGTGTATAAGTTGTTGTTGTTGTT